AGAAATCATTCTATTATAAAGACATATGCACATGTATGTTCACTGTGGCACTGTTTACAATAGCAAAGACTTGGAGCCAACCCAAATGCCCACCAATGATAGACTGGATAAGGAAAACGTGGCACATATACACCATGGAATGCTATGCAGCCATGAAAAATGATGAGTTTGTGTCCTTTGTAGAGAAATGGATGAACCTAGAAACCATCATTCTCAGGAAACCAAACACCACATGTTCTCACTAATAAGTGGGTGTTGAACAATGAGAACACATGGACACAGGGAGGGCAACATCACACACTGGGGTCTCTTTGGGGGTGGGGTGCTAGGGGAGCAATAGCAGGTGGTCGGAAGGATAATATTAGGAGAGATATCTAATGTAGGTGAAGGGGGGATGGAGGCAGCAAACCACCATGGCATGTGTATACCCATGTAACAATCCTGCAAGATCTGCACATGTACCCCAGAAATTACAGTAAAAAAAAAAAAAAAAAAAAAAAAAAAAAAAAAAAAAAAAAAAAAAACTTAAGTTTACAAGAAAAAAAGAAAAACAACCTCATTAAAAAGTAGGCAAAAAATATGAACAAATGCTTTTCAAAAGAAGACACACCTGTGGCTAACATGTATATTTTTAAAAACATTCATCACTAATTATTAGGGAAATGAAAGACAAACCACTATGAGATACCATTTTACAGCAGTCAGCAATGGCTTTATTAAAAAGTCAAAAGGTAACAGATGCTGTCAAGATTGTAGGAAAAAAAAAGGAAATGCTTATACACAGGTGGGAGTTTAGTTCAACCATTGTGCAAAACAGTGTAGCAATTTCTCACAGAACTAAAAACAAAATTATCATTTGATCCAGCAATGTTATAATATAAATTATTCTTTCAAAAAGACACATGTGCCGGACACGGTGGCTTACACCTGTAATCCCAGCACTTTGGGAGGCAGAGGTGGGCGAATCACCTGAGGTCGGGAGTTAAGAGACCAGCCTCACCAACATAAAGAAAAGCTGTTTCTATTAAAAATAGAAAATTTGCCAGGTATGGTGGCGCATGCCTGAAATCCCAGCTACCTGGGAAGCTGATGCCAGAGAATCACTTGAACTCAGGAGGCAAAGGTTGCAGTGAGCAGAGATCATGTCACTGCACTCCAGCCTGGGCAACGAGATTAAAACTCTGTCTCAAAAATAAATAAATAAATAAATAAAGACACATGCACATGCATGTTCATGGTAACAATATTCAAAACAGATAAGACATGGAATCTGCTGGGTACGGTGGCTCACGCCTGTAATCTCAGCATTTTGGGAAACCTAGGTGGGCAATTCACCTAAGGTCAGGAGTTTCAGACCAGCCTGGCCAACATAGTAAAACCCCATTTATAGTAAAAATATAAAAAAGTAGCCAGGAGTGGTGGCATGTGCCTGTAATTCTAGCTACTTGGGAGGCTGAGTCAGGAGAATCGCTTGAACCTGGGAGGCGGAGGTGGCAGTGAGCAGACATCTCATCATTTCACTCCAGCTTGGGCAAAAAGAGTGAAAATTCCATCTCAAAAAACAAACAATAACAACAACAGAAAATTACACAAATACATAGAATCAACCTAAATCCCTATCAATGGTAGACTGAATAAGGAAAACGTGGTATACATGGGCATGGTGGCTCCTAAATGTAATCCCAGAAATTTGGGAGGCCAAGGTAGGTGGATGGCCTGAATTCATGAGTTCAAAACCAGTCTAAAAGACAAGGCAAAACCCCATCTCTACATAAACAGCAAAACAAAATATTACCTGTGCATGGTGGTATGCACCTGTACTTACAGCCACTTGGGAGGCTGAGGTAGAAGGATTGCTTAAGCCCAGGAAGTTGAGGCTGCAACGAGCCAAGATTATGTCACTGCACTCCAGCCTGGACAACTGAGTGAGATTTTTTCAGAAAAGTAAAATAACATAAAATAAGGTTTAATAAAAACAAAATATGTACATAAACACTGGAATACTTTGTGGCCATACAAAAATAGCAAGATTATGTCCTTTGTAGCAACATGGAAAACGAATGCAGAAACTGAAAGCCAATGCATGATATTATTTAAGAGTTAAGAGGTAAATAATAACACACGGACACAAAAAAGGGAATAGACACTGAAGTCTAGTCAAGGGTGGAGGGTGAGAGGACAAAGAGGATCAGAAAAACAAACAAACAAACACAAACAACTGTTTGGTGCTATATTACCACAGTGATAAAATGATCAGCATTCCAAAGCCCATGACAGAATTTTACCTATGTAACAAACCTGCACATGTACCCCTGAACNAAAAAAAAAAAAAAAAAGGAAATGCTTATACACTGCTGGTGCGAGTTTAGTTCAACCATTGTGTAAAACAGTGTAGTAATTTCTCACAGAACTAAAAATTATCATTTGATCCAGCAATTTTATAATATAAATTATTCTTTCAAAAAGACACATACACGGGGCATGGTGGCTCACACCTGTAATCCCAGGCCGAGATGGGTGGATCACATGAGGTTGGGAGTTTGAGATCAGCCTGACCAACATAGAGAAACCCCATTTCTACTAAAAATAGAAAATTTGCCAGGTGTGGTGGCGCATGCCTATAATCCCAGTTACCTGGGAAGCTGATGCTGGAGAATTGCTTGAACTCGGGAGATGAAGGTTGCGGTGAGCCAAGATCACGTGATTGCACTCCAGCCTGGGCAACAAGATTAAAAGTAGGTCTCAAAAAAATAAAAAAGACATGGAATCTGCTGGGTACGGTGGCTCACGTCTGTAATCTCAGCACTTTGGGAAGCCTACGTGGGCAGATCACCTAAGCTCAGGAGTTTGCGACCAGCCTGGCCAACATAGTGAAACTCCATTTCTAGTAAAAATATAAAAAAGTAGCCAGGCATGGTGGCACGTGCCTGTAATTCCAGCTATTCGGGAGGCTGAGGCAGAAGAATCGCTTGAACCCAGGAGGCAGAGGTGGCAGTGAGCCAACATCTCACCATTTCACTCCAGGTTGGGCGAAAAGAGTGAAAATTCATCTCAAAAACAGACAGACAAACAATAACTACAAAAGAAAACCACACAAAGACATGGAATCAACCTAAAGCCCTATCGGTGGTAGACTGAATAAAGAAAACATGGTATAGATGGGCATTGCGGCTCCTGCATGTAATCCCAGAAATTTGGGAGGCTGACGTTATGTGGATGGCCTGAATTCATGAGTTCAAAACCAGCCTAAAAGACAAGGCAAAACCCCATCTCTAAAAAAATGGCAAAACAAAATATGACCTGTGCATTGTGGTGTGCACATGTATTTATAGCAATTTGGGATGCTGAGGTAGAAAGATTGCTTAAGCCCAGGAGGTTGATTGAGGCTGTCAATTCTGTAAAGTTTGCTGAACACCAAGCAATTCTCCAACACCAACTTATTGTTTAATATTGTAATTCTGACTCCACCCAGAGTCGGCACAGGTTCTGATTCAGAGCTCAGTCCCACAACATTATCCTTACTGCAAATGCCAGTCACAAACCTTATGGGCTCATCTATGCTTCTGAGTTACTATTTAAAAACTGGAGACTTTGATAATATCCCTCAAGTTCAATAACTTGATAGAGCTACTCACAGAACTCAGCAAAACACTCTAGTTACGTTTACCAGTATATTTTAAAAGATACAATCCAGGACAAGTCAAATGAAAGAAATGAATAGAACAAATAAAAAGATGGGCAGAATGAGGCACATAGATAATCCAGGTGAATAGCTGTGATTAATAGAATTCTCCATCCTTCCCATTATGACTTAGATGGCACTCTCTTTTCTTACCTTTCACATAGCCAGACACAGACTATCCAGTTGCTTTTTCTCATCTAAAAAAAAAAAGAGCTGAATTTGTCTTCAGTGATCAAAATAAAATACTTAATCAAACTTTACTCAAGTTTATCTCCATTCCACAGACTCCTGAACTCTGAACTCTCAGACTCTACCTTAGTCTGAGCCAACATACAAATAAATGTATGTTACATTTCTCCTAAGAACATGCTGACTTCAGGGTAAAACACTCTCTGACCTAAAATCTGATTAGTCACCCTCCATTTGCCATTCCCCTTGAGCCTTCTTTTTAATTGGCTTTGCTCCTCCCTATGAAAGAAAGCCCTTGTCTACCTAAATTTTGTAATATTTATAGATCTTATAACTGGCACTTTCTCCTGTTGCAATATTCCTCTGGAATTCAATTTTTACTTTTTACTTAAATCTAACTGCTATATTTTACAAAAATTAGAAACTGTCTCAAAACAGTAATAACTTCATCTTCAGTAAGATTCCCCAGTCTCCTTTCATCTGCCTGTGGACCCCCAGCTTTCCAAGGCTTTGAAGCTTCTCTCAGTGTAAAGGCTTCTTCCATGGCTGAGGTGAGCAGGCTGAGACACCTGCACAGGAAGCTACTCAGAGAAAACTAATTGGACCTTCAATAACCTCTTTATGCAGGTTCACTGTTAGCCTTAGCTCAGAGTCACTGGCCTCAGGCTTTAATTTTCATCTCAGAGTTATTCACTTGACTTTTGAAACTGTGTGTAAAATTCAGCAAAATTACTCAAACACAGTATCAACATAAGGGAAGAAAATTTTAAGGTGTCTACATTTCATACCTGAATAAGAAAAGCAACAGTATCTATTTCTTTCAAACAATAAATGTATTATTGGATTATTTTAATTAAAAATTATTTAGTAAACAATTAGTCACATGGTAACACTTCTAAGGCAACCAAAATTGAGTATGAAAATTAGAAATCAAGGTAATGGAACAGAGAACAGGGATAGTCACCGTCACAAATGTACATTGCAAGAAGAGGACCTAATGTCTTCATGAATCTATGTAACTCACCAGTTATCTATCACAATTTTTTGTGGAAAGGTATTCATTTTCCACAGCCAAAATGCAAGAGAGATTTCTCCTATTCTTTTCCTTCATAGCTAGCATTCTGAATGCTAAGTCTTAAAATTCTGTTTGAAATCACCAACCCATAAAAAAAAAACACACCTGAGAAAATTTCAAAACTCATGTTGTGAAAGAAAAAGGTAAATGAGAATTTTTAACAAATAAAAATATATAATTAGACATAATTTTTTTGTTTATGAAAGCCATCTCTTTTATGACCTTTGCAAATATTGTTTGTTTTTTTTTTCCTTTCAAGCCCTACTAATAAAACGTAACTTACAATTAAAAACTGAGGTCCAACTAAGTAAACAATCTTTTAAAGGTGTCAAACCCAGAGAGTGGCAGTGCTGATTAAAAAACAAATGTGCCTTACTCATGTGTCAAGTAAGGCCATTCAATCACTTGAGAGACTCTCCATCCCATCCTCTCACTTAAGTGCTCAATAACAACCTTATGAGGAGATGTTGCACTATGTGTGCCCCAGTGAGTGTCCCAGATACGTTTCACTTCGAAAGATCTGACATCATCTCACTGGGGTCAGGTTGTTTCCGACTTGTGGAATGCCCTTTTTTCCCCACAAATTTTAAAAATATTTTTCTCTAACTATATTTATTTCACGTTTTTTTCTGCCCCCTTAAAAAAATCCAAGGGGCAGAAATTATTTCTATGTTTTTCCCTCAATACCAGCATCTGATTAGCAGACCAAAAATGTGTCTCCCAGAAATGGAAGCTGGATTGGGTAAAGACAGTTTTAATGTCTCAAGGGGTTAGCTTTTCAAAAAACAGAGTACACCAGGAGATTCCTGTCAGCTCCATGGCTTCCATCTTCTTCCTTGATAGGCTACATTCCATACCTCAGGTTGTCCTATGAGAGAAAATAAACCAGGAGCTACTCCAGTAGACATAACCATGCCGGGTATCTTCATTTATCCCAAAACAGTACTTAAACCCAGGACCAGGTTGGCTGAGGAAAAATAA